AGGGGTAAGGAGGGAGGAAGGGGTGAGGAGGAAGGCAGGGTGAGGAGGGAGTCAGGTGAGGAGGGAAGTAGGGGTGAGGAGGGAGTCAGGTGAGAAGGAAGGCAGGGGTAAGGAGGGAGTCAGGTAAGGAGGGAGGTAGGGGTGAGGAGGGAGTCAGGTGAGAAGGAAGGCAGGGGTAAGGAGGGAGGTGGAGATGAGGAGGGGGGCAGGGGTAAGGAGGGAGGAAGGGGTGAGAAGGAAGGCAGGGTGAGGAGGGAGTCGGGTGAGGAGGGAGGTAGGGGTGAGGAGAGAGGTAAGGAGGGAGGTAGGGGTGAGAAGTAAGGCAGGGGTGAGGAGGGAGTCAAGGGTGAGGAGGGAGTCAGGTGAGGAGAGAGGTGGAGATGAGGAGGGAGGCAGGGGTGAGGAGGGAGGTAGGGGTGAAGAGGAAGGCAGGGGTGAGGAGGGAGGCAGGAAGAAACCTCCAGGTAGAGGGAACAGCATGGCAATGCCATGGGGCAGAAGGAAATTGGGCATCTGAGTGGATCGAAATATGAGTTTGGAGAAGGGAGGGGCTGTGGACTAGAGGAGCTGCAGGACAGGACCACCCAGGCAGGGCCCATGGGCCACTATCATCAGGCTGTATCCCAATACAGTTAGAGGACACTGCAGCCAAGGTCTTGAGAGAGGATAGCGGCTTGGACCAGAGTCCCGAGGTAGATAGAGGAGAAACAGGTGGATAGAAAGATGTCAAGGATAATGGTTCAATTAGGCCTGGGTGGGTAGCGATTCCCACGGTCTGAGACAGAGAGTTCCAGAAGAGGACCAAGTCCTAAAGGGCTGAGTAGAGTAGGGATGTGGGGAAGAGGCATGATTGTTTTGGTCTGGGGGTGCCTTCAAGATACCCTAATGTAAAGGGATGAGCTGATGGGCACAGGATCTAGAGCAGCAGCTCTCAACCTCTGGGTCACAACCCACAGGATCTGTATTAAAGGCAAGGGGCATTAGGAAGGGTGAGAACCACTGGTCTAGAGCCACCCTAAGTGACCCAGGCTGGGGACAGAAGCCCTGGCTGGAGATGGAAGCAGGGATATGGTGGTAACTGAAGCTTGATGAGCTCGTCTGGGTAGAGGACACAAGGCAGGTGAGAAAAGGGCCCAGGGCGAGGCCTTGAGCGGCGCCAGCACTCAGTGGCTTCATGGAGGAGGCTGAGCCTGAGGAATGGAGACCAGAGACTTCCCTGGGACCTGGAGGATGGGCTGTGCAGAGGGCTAGGGCAGTCCGTCATCAGGGACAGCAGTGGCCCACTGGGTCAGCACAGTGGGCCACACAGTGGTCCCCAAAATGCTGTATATATCCTAATCCCCCAAACCTGTTAAAATTACTTTATGTGGAAAAAGAGGTGATTATTAAAAATCTTGAGATGAAGAGTTCATCCTATATTATCTGGCTGGACAAGTAATCATACATTATAATAGAGAGCCAGAGAGTTTGAGGGACGCACAGAGGAAACAGGAGGTGACCCCAGGGGCAGAGGCTGGGGTGATGCTGCCACAAGCCAAGGAGTGGCTGGAGCACTAGAAGCTGGAAGCAGCAAGAAGTGCCCCGCCCCCAGAGTCTTCAGATGAGCGTGTCTGGCTGACACCTTGATTTTGGCCTTTTTTTTTGGCCAGGGCTGGGTTTGAACCTGCTACCTCTGGCATATGGGGCCGGCACCCTACTCCTCTGAGCCATAGGCGCCCCCTGATTTTGGACTTTTGGCCCTTAGACCTGCAAGGCACACGTCACTGTTGTTTTAAGTCACCTGGTATGTGGTGATTTTTTTTTGCAGTACCCACGGGAAACTCACACAGGCAGGCCCTGGTAGCAGGGCCTTGAAAGAGACTCTCAGCCTCGGCTTTGAGAGGTTACTAAAGCCTGGGCCACACCCCAGAATAATTAAATCAAAGCTTATGTGGGTGGGCCCTTGCATGTTTTTCTTTCTTTTTTTTAAACATGCAGTCAAGGCTGGAACCGCTGCTCTAGAGGACCTGTTCTAGAGACCCAAGGGCAGAATCCATATTAGAATACAGTAAGAAATGAGTGGGGGTAAGAAAATGGAGGAAGTCTA